TCAAATGTTAGTAAATAAAATGGCTTGTTTATTATAATCAAAATATTAAGGTTATAATCAACCATAGGTCAACATGACAGCCCTTCTATATTGATGTAATTTATTATTTCACCATAAGTTAGAGAACCATATGAAATCGTATCTTTATCTTTATTTTCTATTACGGCTCTTCAGCAAAAAGTTTTGAAAGTTTAGAAATAAATCTTTCTTTCCAAAATGATAGAAAACAATCTTCTCTAAGCAGAATTTTAGTGAGGAAGATATCTTTATATCATCTAAAATCATGAAGTTTTGGACATGTTAGATTCATTAAGATTTCTGATGATCTTTCTTGTAATGAAATAGGGCTTCCAATAAAATGCTTGATAACAGCAAACAGAAATGTTAATATGTTGCCATTTTGTCCATTTGATTTAGTAGCATTCTATGCTTCATCACGTTCATTGTTATTAAGGTAATTAGTCCACCATTTTATTAATTGACCTGAAAGGCCAAGTAAATAGGGATGTCAACGGAGACGGGCAAACTCCCCGCCAAACAATTCCCCGCTGCGAGGTCCTTGCCCCGTTTACTAACCCGCTTAATTTTTTTTTTTTAATTTTTGATAATTTATTTTTATTACTCTCATTCATTAAATTTAGACAAATAATTTTAATTGTCATTTTCTATTAGAACTCATGAAATTTTCCATTTGAAATATTGAATTCTGAAAAAAAATTAAAAAAAAATTAAACGAGGCGAGGCGCCAGTTATCCGACCCCGCCCCAGGGCAAAATTTCCCACGTCGAATATTCGATTAAGCGGGTTATCCCCGCCCGGTTCAAGGCGAGCCCGCAGGTATCGAGATTGTCAGGTTTTTTGTCATCCCTATAAGTAAAATATTGTTGAAAGCAGTTTCTTTGAAATAAATCAATAGAGATAAGCCGAATGGCACATAGCAATATTTTCAGTGACTTGAATAATCTGATATTTAGTCATGCCAACAATATTCCGTTCTATTATCTCATCTCCATCCGAGATTTCTTTTTTTTTTTTCCCTTCATATTGCATATCAGGAAAGGAGGGTCTTAGTTAAAAATTAGATATTTTTGAGTTTTGATCTCTTAATTTATTAATTTTGAGGGGTCTTTTCTTCTAGAAGTTGATTTTCTAGTTCTTCAATTGAGTCAACTACATTAACATTATTTGATGTTAATTTTGATAGTTGTTTAGACAATTCTCTTATGACACTTGATTCAGTAGAGAGTTTTCCTAGACCTAGTTTTAAGGATTCTTTAATTGGTTTATAGATTGAATTAATTCCTTTTATCTCCTCTTCTTGGTTCTTTTGGTTCTGGGTTGGATTCAATTCTAGATAATTGATATGTCATTGAGACTAACATAATATTTGTATAATAATTTTGAGCTTCAATGTTTTTAATATCTTTAACAATAGAACCAGAATTTTCTAATCTATCAATGCCTTGCTTAAGGGGAAAAGCAATTATCTCATCTTTTTCCATGAGAAAAAATAATTTCTTCTATTGGAGGATCTCCGATCGAAAGATTTCTCCACTTGTGATTTTTCATTTTTTTGTTAGTATGAGTTATTTGAACAAATTTTCGTTTTTTGCTCTCTAAAAACTCTTATTTCAGCCCGTTGAAAAAAACATAAATCTTCTAGTTAAGAGAGGATTTTTCCCAAAATGATTCTAATTATTCCTTAGAAAGCATCTTTTTCATATTTTTTTCTAAATGCTTTTAATTTGAGGTCTTTTAACAGTTTTGAATTCTATTCTTCAATGACATTTGATTGTTCTCCTAATCTTTCAGATGGAGGAGGAGGCTGCACATCAGAAGGAGTAGGAGACTGCTCTTTCTGAATCAAACTCATCTTCGTATTGAGGTGTTGGCATATCTGAGTTAAAATCAATTTCTTTTAATTTTTTAAAGAAGTTAAATATCTTGAGGGTTGATGAAATCTTTCAGAGATTAGATTATTTCTAAAAGAAGTAGAGTGTCTTGAACTAGAATGAATATCATCTTAACGTTTCTGTTAGGATAATTTATTATTTGATAAGGGGTATCTTTTGATTTTCCTATTTCATGAACATTGACCTTTTCAAAATCCCATTCAAAAGATCTAGAAAGTCTAATCTAATGAATTCTTTTTAGAATAATTGTATTTGAGTGTAGAATATTGACTTTCCGGAAGAAGGTTTATTCTTTGGAGAGGATCTCAATGCTCTAATATTGAAGTTTGTGCTCATTACTTTGTAATACGTACTATATATCACAACAAATGATTTCGAATGGTCATCAAAATTGAGATTTTTTGTTTCTATCTGAAGAGTAAGATAATTTAATATAGCTCATTCATTCAGTTCAATAGTATAGATTGGATAACGGTTTGAGAATATTGGACCACTTTCTAAGTTTGTCTGTAAAACAGAAAGTAGAGAATTTTCAAATTTTGATATGTCTCTTATATCTTAAAATTAAGAGGATGAGTATACCTAGGCCAAGTCTAAATATTTGACAGCAATTTGGACTAAACCAATATGAACAAATTTATATTTCTTTCTATGGTTTCTGATTACTTCACTTGAGAATAGCTTTATTTCAGTAGTTTGATTTTTGATGGGTAAATTTGTTCACTAGTCTCGATAGCATAAATTTGATGAAAATCAAATCTTTATATTTCATAGATGGTTTTCCTTTCTACCTTAAGAATACTCCAATTACGAAGTCTTTCTTCTAATATACATACATATGGGAGGGTCCCTTTTTGATCGCACTTCTTGCATGGCCTTAATGTCGGCCCTAAGGGGATCCAGTACTATTTAGATTTGATAATGATCAATAAAGGCCAATATTATTACTCAATTTGTCCTACAAAATATTTTGTTTTACATTTCTTCTACATAAATAAGAGAGACAAAAGTAGAAATCAAGTATCGGGATATAATTAGTTCAACAAAGTATAACAAGGATACAAAATTAAAATAAAAATTGCTATAATTGAGGAAAACTAATATACTCTATATATGTCAATAAATTCGTCAATAACAGGAAAAATTGTAAAGAACGAGAGTAACTGACATACATTAGACAAGGATTATTTTGGGCCAAAATTGGACTAGAGGCCTGGCCTATTATAAAGTTTGAACAAATTTTTTTTTTTTTGTAATTTTTTGCCCTTTTACTTCAAAGGATTAACTAACTGAAAATATAATTTGCTTAATCAAATTAGGTAAAAGAAAAAAAAAAAAAAACTTAATTCACCCTATTGATGACTAAAAATAAAGTAATAAATTCAGACAAACTTCATAGAAATTTGCGTAAGATAATTGCTAGAATCCATGAGAATAAGTTGCTAACTACATTGTTTGAAGTTTCAAGTATAATAAAGGGAATACATTAGTACTACACGAAGAGAGAACTATTTGTCCCTATTTATACATCGGAAGACCAAATCACTTGTCCGCTCAATGTCATTTCAACTACATCGCTAACTTAAAAGTGCATATTATCACCCAAAATTCTGGACTCATGATTGGTTGCTGAGGTCGAATACACAGGTCATTATGACGCCTAATTGGCACTGTGGCTTAGGTAATGATTGCAGTAGGTGAAAAATAAGGTGCGACGTCATAGAAGCCACTAGTCTGGGAGTGATTGATAGTTCGGTGACGACAGTTTGCGAGTAATTATAAATCATGATGTTTCTTCAAATTAAGAAAGTCATTGTCTGATATGATCTCGTATTCCGAGGGTTCGATCTTTCAATAATATAATAATGATTATTTTATTTCAACCTTATGATATCGGACACCAACATATCCAAAAAAATTTATATGCTCTAAATTTTAGTTTCCAGTTGAAGTTAATTCTAATAAATTGCACGTGATAGAGTTTGAATTAAATACCCGGTTGGCCTATCCTAAATTCGGATAAGTTTATTCCAGTTCCGAAATCAAACAGGTTTAACCAGTGGAACTAGGGCAGATACAAAACCGCCACTATAAATTATATAGAATTCGCTGCAAATACGGGTAGGGCGTAACAGAGAAACGGAGCCAACAATTTATTTTTCAACTGCGATTTCAGTTAAACAAAAAGTAGAATTCAGTTTATACACTTTCCTGATCTACTATACATTTTTTTTGGTTTCCACCAGCAGAAACCCTTGTTATGCCCCTTTTCTCTTTCTTAATTGTTGATTAATTTTATTTTTTTTCCTGTATTTCCTGTTGAAACGTGAAACTGAATTTTTTTTAAAAATAATTTTTGTAGAGCATGGATCGGTACCAAAAGGTTGAGAAGCCAAAGGTGGAAACACCAATTAATGAGAATGAGATTCGGATTACTAGCCAAGGCAGGATGCGGAGCTATATCACTTATGCCATGAGTCTACTTGAGGTACCATCTTTTAAGATATATGCGTGTTGTATGTATGTATGAAAAATGATTAATCTTTTGATGTGTCTATAACTGTTTTTACCTGGTAATTTTGTTTGGTTTGTGTCCCTTATGTTTTCTTGTGTGTTTAATGTGCCATTTGATTGCGTGGTTTGGCATTTATTTGCTTAGAGAAATGGATTCTGTAATTCATATATTGGTTCGATTTGCAAGTTTCCTTTTTTATGACAGTAGTTTTGCGTCCCTTTAATGCTAATGAAATTAGAGTTTCTTTTCCCAGTTTTTATATTAAGGGGAAGAGCATTTTAGAATCTAGAGATGTTGAAGATAAGTAAAATGGAGAGAAAATATGTCGAATGTTCTTTCAATCATATCAGGAACTAGGATGACAGTTGAATTACAGTATAGAATCACATTGCCCCATAGGGTAATTCCATTAGTATTCTAACTTCGGTTATCAATGAAGAAAGAAAATTCGACGAGGATGTATGTTAGATAACATTAATGAGTTTGCTAAATGGAGACGCCACTTGCTACGCGGTTGGGAGACAATTACTAAGTTAAATGACAGGTTGTATATAAGGATTGTCATGCTCTATGATACACCGACACGGACACATGTGTCCCACACACGATTTTTTTTAAAAAAAGTAAAGACACGACTCGTCATTGACACGTTGATTAAATTCTTAAAAATTATTCATTTATATAGTATAAATTTAGTTTTATACTTATTATGAATTTTTTTTGTTGAAATCTTTTAAACATGAGTATCTATTTGTTACGTGTTAATAATTTTGAATTAACAACATATAATATTTCTAATATAAAAAGAAAAATGATTATGGTAGAGTGTCCGAAAAGTGTCGGTGACATGCTACCCTAACCTAAGTATCCGTGCTACAGTGGTCATGCTAGTTATGCTTTAAGGTACTACTGCTAGACCTTTGGAGCCTTTTTGGGATTGAATGTAGAGCCCAACTGATTGTCAAAGCATCAAAAATTGTTTCATATGTTTGGTAAATTTAAAAAAAAAATGATTACGGAAGAAATTGTACCATCTAGAAGCAGATTTTGAAAAGTATAGCTTCTCAGATTCTACTTTTGGCCTATTCACTTATCTACTATAAAAATATCAATTATATCGTTAATTAATTAAAGTAGTTCCTTTTATATCTCAGGCCCATTATTTTTTCAATAATAAAAATCTTCCATTTTATAATTCACAGGAAAGATAATTTAAATTAATTTGATATTTCCTCTTGTTATATTAAAATGGAGATAATGAGAAATCAAATTGCAACAAATGTGATGCATAAAAAAAATTAATTTATTTGATTATTTTTCTATTATATGGAGCATGCTTTTATTTTGTAACTTTATCAATTTTGAGATTTAATAGATGTTAATTTTTTTGGAGTTTAAAATAATTAAATTTCATACATTGTCGTAAATAAATATTTGACAATATTATTTGGTGTTGTAAAAGTAAAAATAAATGTTGTAGTACTACTAATGATAACGATAATATAATGAAACATCATTACATTCAATTTCCAATTTAGTAATTGTAAGTGCACAACAATCAATCGCTTTTGTTTATCAAACACTTATCTAATTCTTTCCGCCGTTGATTCTTTCTTCAAGATATTTACGACTGATTCTATTAAAGCATAATGATACTAAGGGCGTGTTCGGTATAGATTAAAATTGGATTAAAATTGAAAAACTAGTCATTATTGTTAACTTTTATTAGACGAGTGAGATTCAATAATGACTATATTTTCAATTTTAATTGGATTTTAAGCACGACCGAACACGCCCTAAATCAAGTCTCAGAGGAAAAAATCTCCATAAGGAGACTATAATTTGAATGAATGGATGTGGGATTATATTGGAATCAATACAATAATAATGGGGTCTTATGACATCAATGGAAGAGACTAACTCGAATATAAATTAGGGGAAGGACAAGTTAGATGGTTGGGACAGATTTTGCTACACTTGTAGATGTTCCTATTTACAAGAGCATGCAATCCTAGAGAACACGCTAGAAAATCTTGTTGCAATTATGTGATTGTAGAGATTTAATTTCATCAAACATTTCAGTGAAAAGTTGGATCGAATGGGGGTGCAAAGAAGGATGTGTATCTAACCCTTAATTTATTAGGAGAAAAGCCTAGCATTGTGTGATTGTTTGCTTGAGATGATTGTTGCTATTTAATCTTTGTTCTCGTGCATTTTTTACCATTACATCATAAAGAAATGTAACGGCTGCTATTATGGATCATTTCTTCGACACATTATGTCTCGGATTTATCTTGTGGGTTTAATCATAAAATGCATTGTAGGAAAAGGGTTCAGAGGAAATTCTGTTCAAAGCAATGGGCAGGGCCATCAACAAAACTGTAACAATAGTGGAGTTGATTAAGGTTCTTCTTTCCTACTGTTCTCTCTGTGTATTTCTTATAATTTGGATGATGATTTGGATATATGATGCTCTATATGTATTGCAGAGGAGAATTGTTGGTCTTCACCAAGTCACAGCCATTCAATCAACAGACATAACTGACACATGGGAACCATTAGAGGAAGGCCTCCAAACGTAAGAGCAGTTCAAATTGATATTTGAAATCAAACTGTAACATTCAAATTGTGAGATGAAATAATTTCCTGTTGCAAGGATTGCTTGATTATGGCATAATGTACTTGTTGCTTGATTATGACATAATGTACTTGTCTCTTGTAACAATGTCTCTTCACACTACAGTCTGGAAACCACAAGGAAGGTTTCGGTGGTCTCAATCACGCTCTCAAAGAAGGAGTTGGATACAACAAATGTTGGGTGAGTTATGATATTCTTCTGTTTGTAAGTTCATATCTTTTACATATCATCTACCTCATGCTAAGCAGAGTAATATACCAAGAGTGTGTTTGGTAGAGATTAAAATCGGATTAAAATTGAAAAGTTAGCCGTTATTGTTGACTTTTATTAGACGAGTGAGACCAATAACGGCTATATTTTGAATTTTAATTCCTCCCAAACAAGCTCCAATCAAGTCTATAATTATCACTCTTGAATTTCTTGAGTGACAATATAATGATATCACTTCATCATACAATTCTTCAACATTCTTATTGAAAAGAGGAAGGCCCTATTTTCTCTTTTAAGAATATTGATATTAAAAAATGTTATGTTTTTTGCTATGTTCTGGTAGGTACCAACCACCAATACCAGCTGACCAGGTGAAGGTGTCTACAGAGGTTGATTATGAAGGAGGTGCTGTGATGTCCTGTGATCCTTGTCTTTCTTCAAAC